TAAAGCATAACGCATAAGCATAAGGAAATTGATTGGTCTATATATAAGCATAAGCAAATGCATAAGGAAATGGACCAATCAATTTCCTTATGCTTATGCGTTATGCTTTATGCAAAAGTCTGTGCTCCGGCCGATATCTTGTATATGCCTGCCCTTTATTTTGCCTTAAGGTATATCCAGATCAACTTGCATAAGCGCATAAGCATATGCAGTTTTGGCCGTGCTGTTTCCATGATGTTAATATATTTAAAAAAAAAAAAATGATTAATAAACGGCGTTGTAAAGTCTACATATATTCTTATTTTTTACATAAACATACAAGTTAAGGATATGAATTAATATATTATACAGCTCAATTACAAATTTTTACAAATTTACAAATTATCTGATAACACATATACAAACCACACATCAGTACAGTGAATTAACCAAAGAAATACATATTCACGACATTCACGTCGATAATATTAATCTCATTTTTAGTTTCATCTAAATGATGGCGCTTTCACGTTAAAGTTGGTTGGAGTTCGACAAGTTCTCCTCTATGTTCTATCTTTTCCTTACTTGTGAAAAGTGTGTGTTTACATATTTATATTCCACACAGTTAGAAGTATTGCAATCACGGTTTTAAAGAAACCTGCAGAAATAATATACACATTATAATAAATAAAAGTTTCTGATAAGCTAAACGTAGTAAAGTTGTTTATGTTTATATAAAGACAAGAATATATGTAGACTTTACAACGCCGTTTATTAATCGTCTTGTTTATTTTTTTAAAATATATTAAAATCATGGAAACAACACTGGCCGAAACTGCGGAGGAAAGCAGTGAAAAAGTTCTGGCTAGTCCTTCAGTACAGATAGTGCGAGTTCCAGTGAAACATGCTAACTTAGGCATAAGAAGTCATGCCATGTAAGTTTCTAAAGATGAATATTTTGATATATATCTTTGTCCCTAAAAAATTACAACATTATGTCTTACTTGTTTTGCAGGGATATGAGTACAATGGTGGAACTAACATCATTTAGTACACTTGGAAAGATACAACCATTCCTAGTAACTATCACAACTACCGCAGCTCTATTAGTAGATTTGCATTGTCATTTAACAGACAAGGAAATTTGTGGCTATTTGGGTGGACACTGGGATATCAATTCACACAGTACACTTCACAATCTATTATTAAAGTATATAACTTATATTTTACATACCACAGAAACTGAATTAATTAAACTATACATTGTTACAGATCTTTCTATAACATGTGCATTTCCATGTCGATACTCTGGCAAGGATAAATCAGCTGCAGCAGCCGTGGAAGCTGAAATTGCAAGAGCTATGGAATGGAAACGTGTTATATTGGTAGGTTGGTATCATTCTCACCCACGCTCTCATGCATCACCTTCCTTGAGAGATGTAGATTCTCAATTGGATTATCAGATAAAAATGAAGGGACCTAGCGATAATGGATACACACCATGCGTAGGATTGATATGCTGTGAGTATTTCCAAAACTTTATTTTTTACAAAGTATATAGAATTTTTGCGATTCTCACCTTTTAATTATTACTTTTTACAGCTCCTTACAATATGGATGGCAATTGCTATGAATCAAATTTTAATGTTTTTTGGTCTCTGCCGCCACCTGAAAATAGACCCCATGAATATCCACGACCCATGCTTCTCAGTTATACACTATCACAGGAACATTTTCTTTCTCAAGATACATTAGAGGAGATTGTAAGTATTTTTTGATAGATAATATATGTTTTGCAAGAATATATAATGTATATATTAAGTAATGAATGTAATAATGATTAAATTCATAAAAGATCTTATTTACTGTACAATGATTATTACTTATATTTGTATCATATATTTTTGTAGAGAAGATCCATAGAATATTATAAGAGTGAAGGTGGCATCGACTTTACTGCCAATTTTAATGGTAATACAACATATCTCGAACGTTTAAGAGTGAGTACATTATTAATCAATATTAAATATGAATAAGAGCTTGTTAAACATCATATTAATGTCTGACATCAATAGTGTTCTCTAGCGTCAAAACTGCCTGGCCGGAATAGATCAAATGGCTCATATTGGGATGTGATTAGGGAAATGATTTGCCCAGGTTCGGAAGACGGCAATACGCCTGACTTCTTGACCATGAAATTTCCCTTAGTACCTTCTTCGGAATCACTTGGGCCGCCTGTTCCACCGGGCGTTGGTCTTGCAGCCGGTAACGCAGCTGTTTTCCTCGCGCCAGTCAACTTTAAACCTGACGGCGGCGCCATAATTACTCCCACGTCCAAACCGTATGTGCTGCAACCCTCAACTTCCCGGGACAGTATCAAGAAAGACAGCATCTGTGCTAACGATGCCGCGTCTATTACTCAAATAAAAGATGGTAATCCCATCGTAAGTTCCAAGCACATGTCACCGTCGGAGATCTTGCCGAGCTTCCAGTCGGGCGAACTCACAGTGTCGGTGAAGAACGCAAAGTGCGACTATGATTTCACACCGGCCGATTTCTCGAAGCTGCCAAACCCTCTAACTGGCGACGGCAAGACGCGAACATCGGCAAATCCTGATTTTCCGTTAGCAGATATTACTCAACAAATCACGAAATTCTCGGATCTGACGAAACTGGCGAACTTCTCTCCTGCCGATTTGGCGAAGCTATCCGGTTTCTCAATTGCGGACTTCACGCGAACTTCATCGCCCTCACCGTCGACATATATGCGTAACATCGCGAACCTGTTCGGCCCCCTCGGTAAGATCTCACCGGCAAAAGATGTGGATTGTAACGAACGCAAGCCAGGTGACTTTGTCACTGTCGACACAGTGCCATCATCTTTCAAGACTGCCGGTTCATCAGATACTTGCAGAAACTTCTCAACAAGCGCCGAGGATTATATGAGCGACCGGAAAAAATTGGATGCGCAAATCGATTCGACGAAGATCGGCAGACCGGGCGAATATCAAGGAACAGAGGATCTCACAATATCGAGCGTTAAATCTGACTTCGGCGGCATGCTAGACATGACAACGTTACACAAAAAGTCGTCGGCCGATATGGGAGATTCTTTAAATCTTTCCAAAGATCGTTAAACTTGAAAAACGTATTCAATAAAAAAATCATATAGATATACAGTATTATTATCTAAGAGAATCATATTCTAAAAATCTAGAATTTGTACATTATTTTGACTAATTTTCTCTTAAAATAAATAGTTTTAATGAAACTATAAACTTTGACGAAGAAAAATTAATAATTCACAATATTTATATAATTTGAGAATTGCATATAATATAGTTATTTTAAGGTATAAATTGTCAAATTGTTTTTTAAGATATTTATCATAAATAATATTGAGAAATTTGCGATATAAAATATATGATTACAAGCATTATTATAATTCTAATAAATTTGATTGTACAGTATTAAAATTTGTACTTATCAAGATTGTATAAATTTTTGAAATTATCAATTTCTAAGTAGAAATTGCTTATATCTATATCTTGCTTAATAATTATTTTCAAAGCATAATATTATCGATATTTATTAAAAGTTTGTTAAACATCGACGCTATCAATCATTTAATTATTACTGATGTAAATCAGTATTTTCTACAGCATATAATAAAACAAACAATTACATGACTAATGGAAAAAATAGCGAAAAAAGATAAAAAACGTCTAATACTCGAATTTATTTTTCGCTTTTTATATTATGCTGCATGTATGTAAGTGTACGTGATTTATAAACATTAAATGTGAATTTTACATTGATCTTTACACAAACAAATGGACCTACTTAATTTAATTCCATATGTTTGAAAATATTACAACCATATTTATATCTTTTTAAAAAAATTTTTTAAATAAATAATTATATAAAAATGAAAAATTTTAGTTATTTATTGTTTTCAAGCATTTTGCTAGAAATAAATATAATACAATGATTTTAATACTGTTAAAATAGTAATTGGTTTGTATCATTAATGCTTGAAATAAAATAAACAATACATTCTTAATAAGTTTATTGTACAAAACGTTTTAAGAATATTTCAGCACAATTTGCAGTGAAAGTTCAATGCAATGAAAGAAACGCAGCCCAAGTGTTGGACGCCGATTTAATTCTTCCGATTTCGAAATATGTTGTTAAACATAAAATGGTTAGGAGATACCTATTGTTTTATTCGTGTTTTATACCAAGCGACGGTTTAAAGAGTCAAACCACCTTTTTAAGCTAATTCGGTGTGTTCGATTTTGAAGGAATATTGTCGAAACTATAAGGTATATAAAAATATATTTTAGACAAAAGTTCTATGATTTCAACCTGAACTTTTTATATAACTTGCTTATATATTACATAATGTATTAACTAGTATAAACTAGTAATCAACTTATAATAATTCTTCACCACAGAGTTAGACTTCGTTTGTATTATTTTCCGTCATCATTATATGTAAAGTCGTCATATAAGAAAAGCCCGTTGAAACATACTAAATATAGTAATATATACATACATACATACGCACACAGATATATATATGAACACCTTAGAGGTAAACTGTGTTAAGGCACATTTTTTTCGAAAATTAAGTTATTGTTATTAGAAAACTATACTCCAATTTTTACCCAATGGTTAATGTTTTCAGTGAATATTTTCATTTCAATAGAGATTTTGACTGTATAAAGTTAAGTCAAATATCTTATATCAGTGAATACAAAAGAAATCTGCAAAACATTATAAGTATTTTACTGAGAGAATATCAAAAGCGAAAAATCTCTTTAGATCCTTCTCTTAAAAAGTTATGTGACTTAACACAGTTTACCTTTGTGATGTTCATATGTATGTATATATTATATAATAATATGTATATGTATATACAGGGTGTCCCAAAGTTCGCGGCCCAACCGTCGTGTACAGATAGAGCGGGTCAAACTGAATAAGTAAGTTCTTTACCACTTTGCGAAATTTTCAATAATTAATTAGAAAATAATTAATAAAGATCCGCCAATCCGCACAAGTATTCCCCGAGCGCCGAGCGCGCGGCGAGTAGGACCCAACCAGCATAGCATAATACAAGCGCTCGTGTATAGTGTGCATAGCTAGCCAAGAGAGCGTATCTCCCACCGCTCTGCCGCGCTTTGTATTATGCAATGCTGGGTGGGTCCTACTCGCTGCGCGCTCGGCGCTCGGGGAATACTTGCGCGGATTGGCGGATCTTTATTAATTATTTTCTAATTAATTATTGAAAATTTCGCAAAGTGGTAAAGGACTTACTTATTCAGTTTGACCCGCTCTATCTGTACACGACGGTTGGGCCGCGAACTTTGGGACACCCTGTATACATAAACTTTTTTAAATTTATTTTTATTAATATACTAACGCAAAATGATAAAATTGTTTTTTTCTTACCGAACTAAAGTATCTTAATGATAAAATTGGTATGAAGCAACCGACAGTAAGAATAACTGGTTTCCGGCATTTTAATAGAATGAAAATCAAATTCTTTTGCTTGTCTGTATTATGATAATACCATAGAGATTCATAAGTCGCTTGGGCAATGTCCGAACTCTGTTATATAAGTTAAAATCATATTTTATGTTACGATAAATTATAATTGATTAGTATACACACAATATTATATTAGAAATTAGAAATTATTTGAATATTTTTGCCAATAAGATAAAATATATATACGTACTGCAGTTAACAGACTGTCGGCGGGCCAACAACACGCAAACACATCACAAAAACTCATGGCAGTCATCATAAAAAACTCTAAGTTGATAATTAATGGTTGTCGCTGTTGAGATTTATCAAATAAAATATAATTTTACGATAATATGATATTTACTTTTCTATTGCTTCCGCATATATTTAAATCAAAAGTCAATTAGAACTTTATTCCATTTTTTATGTGTAATAAGACTTACAGTGGCAAAAATGGCACCGGTACATATTACGGATACTGCATTAGTCCCTACTACTGACAAAACCACGAAACGAACATTTTCAATAACATCGTTAGCGTATCTGAAAATTCATATTTGTGTTCCATGTTATAGTTGTAAGTTTGAA